TTCCTGTTTCCAAAGGTCTGGGGTAAAGATGACTTTTAGAAACCACTTTGAGCCAGACGCCAATGAGGTTCTTCCTCAATTAGCAGTCAAAATGGTTTACTTCCTAAAGATCATATTGATGTGATTTAGAAGTGCTTTTGGTACATTTGATACAATATTGCTCTTGTTTTTATTTCTTTAGACAAGAGTAGTGAAGAAGCAGACAGTACGAAGGAAGAAGCAGCTAAAATGGAAAAGGAATATGAAATTTCAAAGGATTCTACAAAAAATGAAGAACAAAATGCAGCAGGAAACAGTGAAGAGCCTAGAGGTACAAAACAGCCGCTGCTTTTCCTATGGTCCAAGTGATTGGAATCTTTTCCTATCTTTAGTGTTGTTTTTCCATTGTGTTAGCATAAATATCTTCAGTTTATAGTTACTGGGAGTCAGCACACAACGGCTTGACTTGGAAGTGTACTTATTTGCTTACTTTTAAATATATGAAACTGTACCCCTTGCTGCTTAAGGCCACAATCTTTCACAGAATCCATAGCCCCTTTTGAGAGCAATATGAAGTGCAGAGAAATTTTGCTTCTTTGTGTCTGTGACTTTTCAGTGAGATCATCAGGATATTCAATATTCTGAGTGAGCCCATGGATTTCTGTAGTTTGTGTTAGAACAAGCTGGTACTGAAAGGTACTGAAAAGTTCTGCAAAGTGAAACAATTTGCCTTACTCACTACCAGAAGTTAAGAGTCATCAGCAATTAACCTGTTTTACACAGCTTTGAAAACCTGTTATAGTAAATTAGGGTCTCAATAAGCAGAAGTAGCTTATCCTGGTTGCCTCAGCATGACACATGCATTAGACCATAATAGCTGAAGTCGCTCTGTCTATGGGGTGGAAATCAGCTGCTGTATCTGAAAACAAATCTGCAGAGGACAGGGTGCCTCCTTCAGAGGCCTTCACTCCTTCAGAGAGCTGAACTTTTGAAAAAGAGGATGTTTGTTGGTGCAGAAACCTTTCGGTGGGTTCTTATTGCTAAGGCTGCAGCATAAGTGTCTATGTTTTGTAGTCAGCTGGTTAAAAAAATTGCTGTTTTGCACTGATGCTGTTTTATCCTCGAACTTTTTTGGATGCATGCGTTTTCACTGCAACATGCTCAGTAATGAACTGCAGTAATCAAGTCTACAGTAGATTGTAGTTCATTGGTGACTTGGTTCAGTCCTGTGGGCAGTGCAGACAGATAAACTACTAGATACTCACAGATAGAAGGTGGCATTTTTTCCAGCAGTGGTTATTTAAGCTTAGAAGAGGAAAATAGCTCAAGATGGCTGTCTGATTTCACAGTAAAGAAGAATTGCCTCAATACCCATGGGAAGTGATAAGTAACATATATTGCTTGTGTGTTGAAGATCTGTCTGTTCAGTTTGGTTCAGGTTATTTTCCTTTACCTTCAGAAAAATATTCAGCGCAATAGCTTTTTAGAAATTCAAGTTGGATCAGTATTTTATATGTCTCATCATGCAATGCCCTTTGGTCTTTCACAGAGTAACTTGCTATAAAGCTAACTCCGCACTCCCAGCTCAAAAATTACGTTATATCTAATACTGTATCCACTTACTAATGGAACCAGACATGCATAGTTGGCACTAGTAGCCTTCTACATGCTAATCACAGTAGGGTTTTTTTTTCCTGACAAATGTAAGAACATTACATCAATAAAGCCCCAGCCAAGTTAAGAATTCAAAATCCATTAGCTGGAATATTTCCTTAGGGACCTTATTAGGTAATCCTTGAACTAATTCTGTCCTGTGTGCTTTCTGGTCCAAAAATAGCCATCACTTTAAAATTTCAGCTATAACAAGAAGTTATCATGGTAATTTTAATACATGCTTTTTCTCAGTAAATGTAAGTAGCTGTATTTCAACTTGTCTTTCAAAAATACCACAATCTTAGATTGCTGTATACTCTTAGTACTGCTGGATGGAGGAGTTTTCTGCCACTTTGTATATGAGCAGATACTCCTTTAAGCTCTCAGTCTTAAATTATTCCTTGATGTCTTAACAGCCTCATCTTTGCGGAACAATTATTATGATCAAAAAGCTACAGGTTGCCTTTAATCCACATATTCAGTATCTGTGGATACCACCGAAAGTTACATATATATATCAAAAAAAACATGATCCTAAGTTTATGGATGACTAATCTTGCACAGACAAAACCTGCAAGCCATCTGTGGGAATTTTGCCTGACTAAGGTTGACAGGACTCAGCTGTTAAATAGAAACTAAGAATAGTTTTAATCTGCCTTCGCCGTGACCAACTTCACCCAGTTAAACACTGATGTAAGTGCCTGATTTCTCTCTCATCCTTTCCTCTAGGGAAAGCTGAGGCGTATTTGGAAGCAATCAGGAAGAACATAGAATGGCTAAAAAAACACAACAAACAAGGTAACAAAGAAGGTATGAAGTGAAAAGCCGTGACATTGGGGTGGGCACCATATACATTACAAAGCATGTAATTTAAATTGTGCTGAGTAACCAAGCATTGTTATAAGTTAAATAACAGTAATGTGAAACGATGCTTGTCTAGAGTAATTAGTGGTGTTAAACAATACAGGCTACGCAAATGTTAAATCAATGAATGAAAATAGTAAACTAAAGCAAATTCATGTACACTGGCTCAAACAGCCATTGGACACAGAACACACAATGACTAACCAGCTAGAAGTTAGTCATGCGCTGTCCAGATGGTCGTGGTGGTCTGCCTGTCACCAGCTAACAGTATGTCGGTTTTGTCTAGTGCGTCATTTCTTAGTTCAATGTATCTTTTGATTATGATTTTGTACATGAGGTAAATGAATTTTAAATGTCTGGATGTGTCTAGAAAAGCTCCGTGCATCTGGCTAGCACTATGCATGCCAGAACAAACAGCAATGAGTTTTGTTTCATAACCATAAATAGTTAAGATACAAACTTATGTCACTAGCACTGTGATATATTGGATTACAGCCCAAATCAACTCTAATGACTTGTAGCTCTCACACGCAAAGCTGTGTAGGAGAGCAGTTGCTGAAGTAGCTGCATAGGGTACGCTCCCCAGCTGCCCCACCATTTGACTCTTCCTTGGAGGCAGGGCTGTATGAGAGCCAGAGGGAGGGAGCCGACAGCAGCAGGATTTCTAGCTTATTTTTCACAGATCTTTATTTATCCATATCACTTTTGCCCTCAAGATATTACATAAAACCAGCCTCTTATCCTTCCTCTCTGCCATTGCTGGGTCTTCTGCCATCACCCGCTCTGTAAGTGACAGTTCCTAGCCAAGGGATCCATCCTTGGGCTATGACTGGCGCCTGGTGAGAAGGGTCCTTCTTGCACCAGCCAAGCAGAGTGGAATCTGAGATCAGATTAGCCCTGGGTAATCTTGCTGCTCTCTCTGTGAGTTGAAGCATGTATGAATTACATTTCAGAGATGAGGACATGCCTACAGCCCAACACATTAATTTTCCTACGCAGAAACTCCATAATAGGAAGGACTTTTAAAAAATTTTTTCCATCTCTCAAGTCGTTTCCACACAATGGCAGCGATGGCAATTAGCAGCAGGCATACATACTTGTTCAAGAGTTTTCCTGCCAATTCTAATAAATGTTTCTTTTCATCAATGTACTCATTATAGTAATTAGATCTCAGTCACGTGTGATTATTTCTCTGTGTCACACATACCGACTGAGCAGCCCCTCACTCCTCTGCGCAGTAACCTTTTCTCTGCACTGCTGCAGCCTGAAAATGGCTGTGACTGCAGATCAATAGCATTTTATCTGCCTGTGAATGCATTAAGATGTACGCTTTCTGCACAGGCGGATTTTTGTTTATGCTAAAATACCTTTCTTGTCCTCTAGCAATGGAAACGGGCCTTAAAGTGAGTGTAAGTTATGACAAAATTCGAATAATGTTCTTACTCTTCTGATACATTATCTTTACTGCGCCTTTCCATACTTTTTATTTTTGTAAAATGCTAATTCAGTTCTCCTGGGATGTTAAAGGCAGTGCAGCCAGGGTAAGCTTATCTAACTGTGAAGGCATTGCGCTGTTTCTTTAGTACAAGATTAGGTGGTATTGATGTGCTCATCAATCATTTCTCCACTTCCACCTAGCACCTGGGAGCTAGTGGAAAAGTGATTCACAAAGTAATTTGTGTATTAAAATGGCCAGTCTTTTCCACCCCTAGTCAGGCACTGTTTTACTCACTGAATATACTTGAAGAGCTTTAGGTTTTCTTCAGGCAAATGTTTGTAGATCTGTAACTTTGTATGAATATCAGTAGAAATTATTGTTCATTCAATGACTAATGACCCTGGAAATGTTAATTTGCATTTTCCTGGTTTAAAAATACTGAATGCCTATTAAGGAGGCAAGTAAACCTGAGTAGTCTGGATGATTTAAAGAAAAGCGTGTCAAAAGCCTAGGCTTTAGCCTGATTGGCTTTTGTGTCCGAAGTTTGTTTTGCATATATACAATCTGTAGGCTCTGTGGGCCTGTCCTTAGTATTGCCCAGACCTGGCTTGATCTTTGAAACCAATGCTCTTTAAAACCAGCTCCTCTCCTGTGTAAATTACCACCGCTAGATGTTGGCTGCTGGGTATTCTATTGTGTCGCCAGAGAACGTAACTCTGAGTCATTTACCTCATACATGCAAATAGCATGTTCGTATTTTTCACAAAACACTGAGGTAGTTTATAGTTTCACAACACCAACAGTAGCCATTTAGGAATGAAAGTAAATTCTGTAATTAATTGCAAATGGCTTGATTTGAATATGCATGTAAGACTTCACTTCATTTACTGTAGCAGTTCCACACCTCAATGTAATGCTGCAGCTGTTGTGGTGAATATAAACCAAAGCTGATTTTTTCTAATTACTTGCCCAAATTAATAGGTTGCAAATAAGTATTAGAAATTAACTTATCAATTTCTAGAAATGAATCAAATTAAATTGCCAGGAGATATACAAATTAGCCAGAATTGGATAGTATCTTAGTGGCTGTAATCTCATACATAATGTTTAGTAATTACACCTTCACATCTTCACATAACGATTTTAGAGTTGTAAATACTATTCTAGAAGAAAGATAAGTTCAGAAATTTTAATGTGAATAATATGAAAATAATATTAATTTAGTATTTGCTGTTCCATTCATTTCCGTTCCATGGTATCTTTCACTGGAGACTCTCATTCTGTCAACATGAATGAAATCTCACAAGCTTATTATTAAATTGCTAGGTACTATTTGTCCCTATTACTCAGACAGGATGGAGAGACAAACAGGTTACATTCTCTTAAGAAATGCTGATAACAGACTAGACATGAAATCCTGGCCTCAGTTCAGCAAATAGAAAAATTCATATTAACTCAGATATGGAGATGACACCTCTGCAGTAGTGGGGAGTTTTGAATTTCAATTTTCTGTATTAGTCACTTGAAATTGCCTTATACTGTTACCAAAAGGATCGCAAGCATTTATTTGCTTCTTAATGTCTTTCTATTTCTATCTGATTTTGGTCACTCAACCATAAAAAGACAGAAAGTCATTATTGTCTGTTTTGTTAAGAACATACGGTTTGAAAGAAGGTCCTGCCACTTATTGCTATATGGTGATGTATTTTGGAGTACATTACAAAATCAGTATTAATATGTCCTGAAGGTTCTGTCTGTGGAATAAGTTACATACTGAAAAGTTCAGGATATATCTGTTTTTGTGAAAGATATTTATTCATTTAGCTTAGTATGAACCCTTAGCACATCAGTGTTTTCCAAACTACTAACTCGTGATTCTGACAAATGTAGCTTTACATTTTAAGCAGTAAATTACGTAACTAAAACTTGTATTGTGTTTATGTGTGAATATACTGGATCTATTGCCGGAGCTACGACTGCACAATAGGTTATCTTTTTATGTTATTTGAAAGTAGAATTCTTTTCATGGAAAATAATGATGTCTTCCAGCATAGGAAAAGTCTATTTAATGTATATGGTGTGAATCACACTGCATAGATGCAACCATCTATCGGAAAAAGAGAAAGGGTCTTTCAGCACTGTATTGCAGATTGACATACAAAGATTGTCAAAGGCTGCTTTGACACTAACACTGACATAAAAACTACTTACTGCGGTGTTTTTCATGTCAGGATACTATACTCTGTATCAAGGTAAATAATTTTATTATTTTTATTTATTTTCAGTAAGTTGCTTTCTTGATTTTTCACTACAGGTGTTTGTAGTAAGTGGGAGTTTTACTGGGATTTCAATAGGAAACAGTCGATTTAATACTTTATTTTGAATCTGTGACAGTTGTGAAAAGAATAGTGTTTTAACAACAGCTTTTGTATGCAGACTAGAACATCAAATCTCTGGACCAGAAAATATTCTTACTTTAGCATTTGCCAGCAAGCAATCAAGAGCAAGAGATGATTATTCCTCTTGAATAGTAAAAACACTATGACCGTGACATATAAAAAAACTTTGTGCAGGTGTTTTATTTTTTAAATTGTTTTCGCAGGTTGCACTCGTAGTGAATTCCCTTCATGTTGGATAAAGTGCATTTGCTGCATAAACTTTACAATGGCATTGTTTCTTAGGTGAAGCAGTATAATGGCAATGACTCACTGTGCAAATGAATTCTTATTTTTCAGACTATGATCTTTCAAAGCTGAGAGATTTCATTGATCAGCAAGCTGATGCTTATGTGGACAAGGGCATCCTGGACAAGGAAGAGGCTGATGTAATTAAACGCATATATGGCAGCCTGTAAAAAGCCAGTGGCTGCCGAACATGTAGAAAACTAGTATAGCTCCCCCCGCTCCCGGCTCACTGACTTATGATCTGTTATTTTGAGGGTATCATCAGAAATGCTCTGTTTACATTTTACCGACAACTTTCTAGACAGAAATGAAGAGCTGTAGTGCTCCACACACTGACTGCATACTGTATTTTCCTACACTCGCTAAGCAACCCTAAACGCCAAATTCTGACACTGAATCTCTATTTGATGGAGTAAATATTTATCTGATGTTCTCTTAGATTTATTATTTGTATTTGGTTTACTTTTGTAGATAAACAAATCATTTCTGACGGAAAGTTATTTTCATGCTACATCTTTTTGCTCTCCACTAGCTTTCTATAGATGCAACTATGTAAAGGGCATTATTAGAAAATAGTTCATAGTTCTCTAAATAAAATATTTGAAAATAATTAACCTATTAAAGTTTTCATTAATCTTCATATGATTTTATATCCAGAAATCTTGTTTTTAAATCCCAATACCTTTTTTTTTTCTTGACCCTTTTTTATTTATGTCGTATCCTAGAACTTGGACTATAGTGTCCTGAGCTAATTGATACATCGTTGACACTACAACTGCCTTTCATATTACAGAGCCGTATTCTCCCCCTTGTTGCTTCATTCAGCATGTATAACCATTCTCTTTGGTGCACCATTTGATGACTGTGCATGCATAATTAGTTGGATTCCTGATGTGAGTAGCCTGATAACAAGTGTAAATAGCCATTACATTCTTTAAAGAAAATAAAAAGAATGCAGTTCAAGTTATTTTGCATGGGAAGGGGAGTTTGCAACTAGAGATGTTTTTAGGAACATGGGCCCTGCTTTTCAGAAAGACTTAACTTAAAGACCCTATCATATCTCAGCATCTCTGAATATCAAGGCTGTGGTGTGTTTACTGACTTCTGATCTGTGCTGAGTGGTATTATTTTGGAAAACTATTTTTCAGGCATATATATGCTATCATTAGCCAAGAATTTGATGCCTGCTAAAGAATGAAGAAAGAAAACAAAATTTTTGCCCTCATTCTTCTCTCTCAACTTACAGAGTTTTTGAAGAGTGGCTTATGAGATCTTTTCTATTTAAGTGAATGGATAATTTTATGTATGAAGAATTCATAAAGCAAGATCAAAGATTAAGAAGTTTTAATAAAAGTAAATTTTTTAGAAAAGTACATTTTAAACTGAGTTCCAGAATATGTAATTCCTGAGACTTATCCCCTGCAGCAGTCATTTGTCTGAACGAATTCCAGGAGAGCCCTGTCCTCTTTACTTACAGGTTTTTCATTGATAATTGAGGTTATCCCTGCTCTGATTTTTTTAGAAAACTCATGATACTTCTCAGATTGATAGAATCAAAAATTGTTAGATGATGCAGAGGTGGGTATCTGCTTGCCAGTGAAGGGAGACACTGACTTACAGCACTGCCTGCACAGCACAAAGTTCTGTAAATGTTAAATGGGCAGTTGGTTTCCTTCCTTATTTTCTCAGCACAGTTGGCGATTAAGGAGGAGGAGGAGGAGATTTGACCCGACTGAAGTAAACTTTGGAATCCCTGCATAAATTATCAACTGAACGTTATCAACAGAACCTTATTGGGAACAAACATTAAATGAATGCGATAGCGATGAGGTGTAACAGCGCGTCTCTGAAAACTGGTGATACCTAAGCCGGTGCAAGCTTTCTAGCCTACAGAAAGTACATCACTGCCTGCTCGTACGCATGCTGATAGGGATCATTGAATTGCAGTATCAGTAACTAATGGTGGTATTTATTTTAGCACAAAAACCGTATCCAGAAACGTAGTCAATGTAACCTTCTTGTTCAAAAAATAGTTCCTTAGAAACACTGCAGAAAATACTTAGGAAAAAAGAATTCCTGTTATTTCGAACCAGTGTATTTTTTCTCATCTAAATCCTCTGATCTTTTTTATTATTATTATTTGCTAATGTTCCCAAAGAAGAGAATTTCTTCTTGTCCCTATAGATCTCCATGGCTTTCTGCAACAGCTTTTGACTTACTTTCTTATGTGACTATCACACTTCAAAAGTGGACTTTTGGATTCATGAAAGAAATCAGGAGAAAGATAACTAACCATAGACCTGTACGGTTGGGGAAGTGGTAGCGATCTAGGATCTATACTTAAAAATCAAAAAGGACAAAGTTTCCTTCTCCAATGGCTACTTAAAAAAAAAAAAAAAAAAAAAAAAGAGGCAAATTTCCTTCTCCTGTCAATATAATGAGTAGTATAATAACATACGTAATTTTCATTGGAAGTTAGGTTCTTACTTTAGCCTCTCAGGAGTCTATGCAGGAGTCTTGTACTAATGGAAAGATGTCATCAGCTAGTGACCTGTGATTATGAACCATTTGTGTCCACGAAAAAGCTAGTACAGTATTTTTTAACCTCTCAGTTTTGCAAATTTTATAACTTCAGCAAAGTACAAACGACATCATTTAGGAAAAAAACATCCGAACAATGGGTATGACCTGATTCTAGTTCAGAGAAAGCACATTCTTGGACCTGTTCTGTGCTTACCCTGCTGCTGTGCGTCACTTGAGGTACATATGAGGACCAATTAGACCAACCTGATGATTAGCTGAGAACAGAGCAAGCCCTCTGACAGACATATGAGCAATCTCAGCTACGTTCTTCAAACTAGATTCATTCAGATTTCCATCCTACCCAAGCCCATTAAACTTGTTATTTCAATGCTTCAAATGCTGGTTTCGTTGCTGGTACATCAAATGAACATCAGTAAATCACGCCTTTCAGAACCAGACAGTAAGAACACAGCCAGCCTGATGAATCACCCTGCATTTCGAAAAGGCCATGGCTTACGCTAAGTAAAATCAAACCGAGTGACGCGAGTTGCAACCTGCACTACAGATCAGTCTTTGTTTGGAGGGGAACACTTGGAGCACATCAGCACTGCACATCTGCTGCTAAGTGTGTTTAGTACGTAATTAGTAAATCACGTTCTGTCAGTGCTTTCCTTTTTCCTGGTGAGAAAGGTATTTGCAACAGCCGCACACCTCTGGTTCTAACTTGACAAAAATCAGCTTCTATGTTGTTTGTATCTCTGCTGGCTCCTTCAGAAATCCTTCACTCCCTAAATCATCACTGAAAATGTAACAAGTAGAATATATATGGTATTCACCTTTTGAGCTTTTCTATTAGACTATTGTTTCTGATACTGTACTTTATTAAACACTTTACTACAAGCTACAGTAGTACAAGGCTGCTTTTGTGTGTTAAAAAGAATGCATCTTTTCTATCCCCTGCCCAGCTTTTTGAGGACATCCTGCACCACAGAGCCATAGGAGCTCAGAGCCCATGTCTGCAGGAAGGGCGATGCTCCTCCGAGAATGTCAGATGCAACTACAGCACCTGACAGCTGCGTTAGAGGGAGGTACAGGGGTCAAGTAAACTCCAGACACATTGCAAAGGAATCCCAAATAAAAAATTCTTATCGGATGTGTCCAGCATTTCATTTAAAAAGTTCCTAGTCCAAGCCTGCCCAGGTTTTTTGACTTTTCAAGCAGAAATATGTAAAAACAAAACTACAGAAGTGCAGGTTTCCCACAACAGGGTAGCTGCAAAACATAAAATTTTATCTGCACTATGTGCTTCACTTCTGCCTGAAATTGCCCCATTCCAGCCCTAAACTAAACTTTGTAGGACTGGTAGAAATATATAAACAAAGAATGAAGTTACAAGCATATGAAGAATAAAGGCAGAGTGAGAAGCAAAATATACAGGATAACATATAAAAAATATGTAAAATATACAGGAAAAACTGTCATTTTATTGAGTAATAATATGACAATGTGAATCAAGATATTAAAACATTAGTTATTTCAGAGTCTTAAGAACCCCCTTCTTACAGAGTAGGAAAGCTCCATCTCGAATTACTCTGAATACATTACAGATACGCTATTTCCAGACACCGTTTTCTCTCATCTGCTCGGTTTTCCCCGGGGCTGAGCAGACCCGGGGTACAGGGGTGACCAGCCCAGCCCCAGCCCAGGGGCACAGCAGTGCCGTGGGGCTGCCGGACCTCGCGCCAGCGAAGGGGCGTGAGAAACTTGCAGAGGTGTAGTAAAGCAATGTCTAAAGGTATTTTACCCTTACATAAAAAGGCGTTCGGCCCCTGTATTTGCCCTAAGGATTATGGAACACCACATGTACCTGAAAACCAGGAACGGGCAATAATTAAACACAATAAAATCCCACTTTTTGCCCACATTGCAATAGGCTGCTGGGACAATCAGGTTTAGTCAGTGCCCAGGCAAAAGCCAGGCTGTGGGCAGCTGCTGCCCCACTGGGGAGACCCAGCTGGTCCCGGGGCTCATCAGCCCCAGCTGTGCCCGGGGCTCATCAGCCCCACAGCCCGCTGGGAGGCCCTGCGGCCATAAAGAGCAGCCCCCGCTCAGGGTAAGGTGGCTGCTGCAGGTTTTAGTGAATGGGACTGGAAGAGCTGAAGAAAAAGGAATGGAAGGAAAAGCTGAGGTCCTGTCTGGCCTGGCGCTGAGCCCTTGGGGCACTGCGGAGAGCACTGGTGTTGCAGGTGAGGAGCGGCGGCTGCTGTGGGGCTGTGGCGGGCAAGGTAGGGCAGCTGGCGGTGCTGAGACCCTCCCTGCGGGAAGGTGGTTGTGTGGAATGGATGGGTCAGGTGTCTGCGGAGAGACATGGTTTTGCATCATGGTTTTGCAATGGGTGGCATGTTGAGTGCTGGTGTGGTGGGGTTCGCAGTGAGGAGAGGTGCCGTGGGTTGATGGGAGGGCTGTGGGACTGGGCTGTGAGCTGCTGGTGTGGCTGCCACCCCCTGAGAGAAGGACGCGTGGCTGCTGGTGTCTGCCTGGCTGTGGCTGGTCTGTTCAGGCTGGCACAGCTGCTTCTTCCCTTGTGCTTCTGCATGGCTTTCTCAGTCAGCAAAAGTAGCTGTAAACCCTGTGACTGATCTTCTGTTGTTTGCCCTGGAGCTCCTCCAGCCCCCGGGCACAGCAGCACTCAGGAAGGATGGAGCAAACCATGGCTCTGGTGGGAGATGTGCTTGTGTGCCAGGAGAGCTGAGCTGCTCAGCAAAGCGCCCCGGCCTGCGTGTGCTGGGTACGCGAGGGTATTGCAACAGCGGGTCTCGGGCAGAAAAGGATTAAATTTTCCTGTAGGTTTATAAAATGTAACTGGGCTTGAAGCTAGGGTTGCCTTTGGAAAAGTAGTTTATTCTGGCTCTGGCAATGTCCTACTGAAATTAACTGACAACAGTAGAAACTACTGTCCTGTAAGGAATAGATACAATTACCAATTTAAGAAAGATACATGACTTAAAACTAATTCATTAGTATCTTCAGGAAAAAATCAATGCTTCCTTTTATTCCCTCTAAGCTTTCCCTGTTCTTGTTAATTTG